ATACCGGTTAGGGTTTCTAATAATTAAAATATTAGATGATAACTTTCATTCTCTCTTTTCATCGATAAAGTATAAAAATTTCTTTTCTAATTTCTTTTCTTGTCTATTTCCCCACACAATATACACTTGGATTATACTAGAAGAATATTTACCGCGACGCCTGACAATAGGAATATTAATAAACTTATTTCCAATCCAAAAGCATCCTAAAATCATTTTGAAAATTAAAAATTAAAAATCAAATTAAATTTAAAAAATATTTATAGACTTTAATTTTTTTTTTCTGACATGATTTAAAAGCAAAACCAATTTCATTGAACTTTTTTTTTCTTCCTTTTTAAGTCAAGCTAGTTGACATCAAGATTTGATTTCTTTGTGTACATAATGTAGCCAGTTGATCAAAATACTTTCCCTCTCTTATCCCGTTCTTGAAGAATTTCTCTCTTTTTTCTCAACATTCAATTACTTGAAATAAATAATCACTAAAATTATTTATAACTGCTGCAGTATTTAATATTTTCTTGCTTGTTGTCACACAAATTCGTTTTTTATTCGATGGAGAAGATGATAATAATTAATTAACGATATCTAGAGTCATATCTTTATCTATCAAATTCAAAGAGGAAGTGAAAGGAAAGATATATACATACATGAACAGAAACATCCTTTACAATTTATTATTACTGGATATTACATCTTCGAAGCCGCTTTCATTTTTTCTCTCCAACTTTCATGAGAAAACCTATGCATAAACACTCATGCATTGCTAGAGAATAATTAAGATGTTACTCATGATAAAAAAAAAAACACCAGATTAGACCTTAACCCTCCAGCTCTTGAAATCAACTTTTACTCGTATTTTTGGGACTGCTCAACGTTTTCTGGTTGCCCTGCAACATAATCAAGAAGCCCTTCGCCTGCTTTTTCACCATGAGAATCTGGAGCCATGTGTGTAACAGGACCTCCAAAGACTAAGATCAATATCAAGAATACAGCTGTTGAGGCCAATAAAGGCCAGAAGTAAGCAAGAATGGTGATTAGTCTAGGAGCAGCGTATAACAATAAAGATAGAACAACTGAAGCGGTGATTGCTATAGCAAAGTGGTGTCTATATTGCAAGAGCCTTTCTGGGATATCCATATGGCCAGAAAATTTACTAAGAAGATTGCTCAGAGAAAGAGAGGCAGAGAGCAGGAGGAAGCAAGGAGAGAATGGTTTTGTCCTTGTTTTGATACAAAGTGAAAATTAATTGAAATAATCTTCAACATTCATGGATTCATACATTGATAGATAATAATTGTCAAAGGGAGATTCCTTTTCTTTCACAAATAATCATCCTCTCTGTAGCCTTAAAGTTTTTATCTCATTTTCATACATCTCTAATTACAGAAATAACCTCATCACCAGACTAGTTTTAGCTAAATCATCTGCCAAAAATGTTATCAGATTTCATAAGGCATTTTACTTTTTTTTTTTTTAAAGCTAATATACATCGTTAGTATTTGATTGTCATGTTACTACACGCTTTCAAGTAGTTGACCATTATATTCTTTATATAGGGTTATAATCATTGTTTTAAATCTTCAATATGATTATAATCATTGTTTTATCGGAGACTCGATTTATTAAAGAATTAGACTAGTTTAAGTTAAAAAAAACTAAAAAACTAAATCTAATTGATCCAATAAAAATGTGATCATTATCTCGTTGATTTTTTATTTAAATAACATTATTTTTATTTTATTTAGAAAAATTAAGGTCAATTTAATGCTCAACCTTACTACAGATTATGTTTTAAGATTATGAACATAAATAAAATATAAATATAACATATAGTCTTGTAAATATTGTATATTTTGTAATAAAACTCATTTATTTAATGTAAGCAATATCCAAGCAATGATTGATTTTTATTTTCCCATAAATTAATCTTATAAGATTATAATTATTTAGATATACAGAAATTAAAAATGTAATTATCCCCTAAGGTAATAGACACTTGTGGGCAGTTAAAATGTTGGAAATTTATATATTAAGGGGTTAAAAAGAAATTTACTTCATTTCATATGAAGAGCTAAACAGTGAATAGGTGGCGTGTCAAGGGAAGAGGGGCATATTGGTCATTACGACCAAAACCAACAGAATGTATTGGTATAAGTTCTTTGTCCGCTTCTTGAATTGGTCGGCCACTTTATGACTTTTTCAAGGAAAAAAAGAATAGTGTACTGAGCAATTATTATTTTCTTTTTTTTTGGTAAGTACAATTATTATTTTCTTCCTCCCATGTGCTCATGGATTTCAAGAAAAGATTAGCTAGCCAGAGATCAAATCTGGTCTGGACTTTGCTATTTTCAGTTTTTTTTTAATATATTAAAATGATTAGGTAATGAATTGAAAAGGTTAATCATTTGTTTTTATTTAAATCTTAAATTGATATATTACATCATTTTAATTTTAATTTATAGTTTTTGTTTAATACCAAATTATGAAAAGGATAACCTGGGCTGGATTTTCTAGCAACCTTTCAATATTTCTTACACTCGAGAGATTATACCCATTAAAAATCTTCACTTAAGGAAGCTTTCTAGCATTTACCTATCATTCAAGAATAATGAAAATATTTCTTTTAAAACTTTATTTTTTTAAATGAATTTTTATTTTATTTTATTTTAAATTTAAATTAATGTTTTTATATAGTTTTGATGTGGTGATGTCAAAAATAAATTTTAAAAAATAAAAAATTATTATTTTAATATAATTTTAAATAAAAAATACTTTAAAAAATAATTTCTACACATATAATCATATCTAAATCTAACATCAATTTAGATCAAGCCATCCCCTTTGAAGCACCTAAATTGAGTCCATTATTGTGCTTTTTCTTTGGGCATCATTTGAACTAAGAAAAAAAAAGTAAACTACCATTCCTCTAGCAACTTGGACCTTCTTCTTAGAGCCTGTTGAAGTAATGTCTAATGAAACTGCCCACTTCACTAATACAGAGGCTTGCATCTACCTTAGCCTCTCCACCATTTGGGGCCTGGATAGCTCAAATCTAGCAGCCTCTAGCCCAATATGATCTCCACCTTTATTATACATTCAGAAAAGAAAAGAAAGAACAGGACTTTCTATTTCTTGGGTCCAAGCAAAACAATCAATGCACAGAGTGCAAGCTGTATGAGCAGCTTAATACTCCTTTTCTATGGAGTTTAACAGTTCTTTTTAATTTTTTTTAAATATATCATTTTTAACATATTTTCAATCGACATCACATCGTTTTATACACACATACACACACACACACACAACAATTGAGAACCCAACATCATTAAGTTAATGAAAAACCCAATTGAAAGTTTTGGTTGTATGTAGGATTTGGTCATGGCCTCTCTTATTTTTTTAGGGCTAGCTTGGTGGTGGTGGGGGTGGGGGTGGGGTTGGGGTGGTGGTGGATTCTTTCCTTCGTCGTCTAATGAAAAAATGAAATGGAAACACCAAATAATATACTTAAAGATTGCCAAATGGCACAGTATGAAATAACAGCTGGATCTTCATGTATTTTTCTTATATCCAATCATACTTACAAGCAAAGATGGCACACAAATGAAATATATATATATATATATATTCTTTGAAGCCACTTTAGTTGGTCCTTTTCGATTTGGAGTCATCAAGACCTCATTTTTCTTTGTTTCCTTGCTAAATCCCTTGAGTGACTTTCACTAGCAAGGAAAAAGGGGCATGGTTTAAGCAATGTTTAACGCTTAAGCAAATAACTTACTCCAAAACATGAGCTTTCTATCAATACAGCCTGACGATGACAAGACCAGAAAAAAAATCTAAGAAAAACATCAATAAGATTTTTTGAACCTTAGCCGAGACATCACCTTCTTTTTTCTTCGGCTTTCTTGCGATACAAATCGAGTGTTCTGGGGTTTAATAGCCTCTGTTTTTTCATACGTTTCACTTGAAAAAAACACTAAATTAATGTTTTCTTTAATGATTTTTGATGGTTTTGATTTGATGATATCAAAATTAAAAAAAAAATATTTTAATAATTTTTCTTCAAAAAATACCATACAGCAAGATATCAAATACAAAAACCTATAACAATCTTTGTTGCTAATCAACTGTCTTCCACCTAATAAAGCTATAAGATAGGATACAAAAGTTATGTTTGAAAAACCCCATTGATGGTTTGGTAATGTGAGGAGCCGGAGTTGGTCAAGCTTACAGGACCCTTTTTTTATTTTATACACATACATATATATAGGACACCTACCATATATGCTTAATAAATCGTGCTTTAGTTTCCACTTCTCCTACTAATATTGGCCAGTTTCTGGGTTCGAAGTATGATGAATAAAGGGCGCCAACAACCAATGCCCTTACTTAAATATTTGTACACATATCTATCACCAATCTTAACTATACTTGTCAAAGATTAGGTGGTATAAAGATTCAAAACTGTTATCCCGATAAGTAGTACTACAAATTCAAAGCTTAGATTCAACATCACTAATCAAACCTACTTCGAGCAAAAAATATTACTCCTTTGATATATATATATATATATGAAACCCTAATGAAATGTGGATGCTTCTCTCGTCACAGAGATTCATATTTGAATTATGTATGGATTTTCTACTTGAAATATTAGAGAAAAAAGAATAAATAATACTTACTTCCGATATTAATACTATGTACAGGAGTAATTGTCAATATCACTCTAAATTTCCCCCTCTCTATTAGCTTATAATTTAATCATAACCCGTGAATGCATCGTGTAATGTATGGATTTTCTATTTAAATTGGACCAATTTAGTTTTCAGACGTAACAACTAATACAAAGATATATATATATATATATATATAAGTGATAATGGTGTATGGGATTATGATTTAGTTAAGGAAAATTAGGATTTTGAAAATAAAAGAAAGTAACGGTTACAATCAAAATATGAATGGAGAGATAATGAAAGCCGACTAGGCCGGCCTGTGATGGAAAATGTGGTTTTCATATTTTGCTTCACACAAAGGGAAGCTCCCATCCTCTCTTTGCGGTCAATTCCTTAAAGGGATGGACTCTTTTGAGTGACATACTTTTTTCTGTATCTTATGTTTATCTCTAACAAAACCCTCTTATGTTGTCTAATAAAACCCCTCATCTTGTAGGTGTTCTTGGAGCTTGTGTGCTTTATTATTGTTAAACATTTTCATTTTGTTTCAAACTTTAAGGTCGTAATAAGAAAGGGAAAAGATGGTGGGGTATGGTAATGAAGAACAAGTTCTTGGAGGAGTAGGAAGTGAAGATCTCTCCCTTTCTTACCCTGACCCTATTGTCTTAGAGCTCAACCGATTACAGAACCTTCTCAAAGGTTTGCCATGTCTTATCCTAAAGTACACCATCTAAGTTCATGAAAACATGCATTGACATGCACATGTTTAGTTCTTCTGAGTTTATCAGTTCAAGTTAGGCTGAATTTTCTTTCGGGGTCGTGAATTCTGTGAAAACATGAAGTGAAAAATGACATGGGATTTGGTTTTTGGTTCTGAATTTATGGCCTATGGTAATAATTCTCACCACAGGTAATTGCTGTTTGCCTGTGTAAATAATTAGGAGCATGTAATTTGGAAAATGACAGCACATTATCATAAGATTTAAGTATAATTTGATGTCAAAATTGAAGTCCTGCATTTTGACTTTTATCATTCTAGGCTACTGTAAAAGTTCTAGTGCCATTGAGGTTTCTTGTTTTTTGCTCTTTTAACTGCTCTGTTCTTGTCTCCTAGCATTTCTTATGTTCCAAAATAAGCATTAGAATGTCTTCTGATGATTTTTTTTTCATCATTGTTTCAGAGAAAGGAAGAGAGCTGGGGGCTGCACAAGGAGAAATTAAGGCTTTGAGGGCAACTGAAGCTTTGAAGGATAAGGCTATCGAAGAGGTAAGCAAGTTTTGTGGCTGCATAGCCTGGAAATTTTATCTCTGTCATGCGGTATTTAAAGCACATGCATCTGTTATAAAATGGCTTTTTATATTGTACTGTGTCAGAGATTGTAGTTTATGCCATTTAGATAATGTTTTGTAGAAAGTAATGATTGCATCACATGATCTTCTATTATGTTTCCATCAAAGGATTAATTGGAATCTTGTCAGACAAGAAGTAACAAGTTTCAAACTCTTTTTTTTCAGTTTAATAGAACTGACACTTCTGAGGTTTCCTGGTTTTTCCAGTTCAGGAATGGAGTTGGTAAACTGGAAGAAAAACTTGGTGTCATGGAAAATCTTGTAGAGAGCAAGGTATGCTAGGTTCCTCCTGGAATTTCATAGAGTTAGGTGTAAAGAATCATGATCTGTGGAACTAAAATGACTTTTGTTCAAACCTGATTCATTGCAGAATCTTGAAATCAAGAAGATAACAGATGAAAAGAAAGATGCATTAGCAGCACAGTATGCTGCGGAAGCAACTCTTAGAAGGGTCCATGCAAATCAGAAGGATGATGATTCTCCTCCTATTGAGTCGGTCATTGCTCCTCTTGAGGCAGAGATTAAAATGTATAAAAATGAGGTATGGTAATGAGTGAGATTGCTATCAAAGAATCAATAGAGTATGAGAACGCGATACATTTTCTTACATGGAATGTAGTTTTCTTACCTCTTGGTATTTCCAGATTGCAGCACTACAGGAGGATAAGAAGGCAATGGAGCGTCTTACCAAGTCAAAAGAATCAGCTCTGCTTGAAGCAGAGGGAATCTTGCGAAGTGCTCTAGAAAGGGCTTTAATAGTCGAGGAGGTTCAGAACCAAAACTATGAGTTGAAGAGACAGATTGAAATCTGCCAGGTACTATTCTGTAAAATATTTGGTTAATTGTTTGCATATGCTATGTAGATTTTGAGTGATGCGGATTTGGAAGCATATCACATGCAGGAGGAGAACAGAATTCTAGAGAAGACGAATCGCCAAAAAGTGTTGGAGGTTGAAAAGCTTAGCCAGACCATTCATGAACTTGAGGAGGCAATTCTAGCTGCTGGAGCTGCGGCCAATACTATCCGTGACTATCGGAGACAGATTTCTGAACTAAATGTATGTTTCATTCTTATATGAGTTCATCTAAGTGATTTTGTTCAGAATTATTATTGTTTCTTCCTTGATTGTTAAACTCCATATCCCGACTGATTTAGATATCTGCCCTTTACTTGCTCAACTTTTCAGGAGGAGAAGAGGATTCTGGAGAGGGAGCTAGCCAGAGCCAGAGTTTCAGCAAACCGAGTTGCAACTGTGGTGGCTAACGAGTGGAAGGATGAAAATGACAAGGTCATGCCTGTCAAGCAATGGCTTGAAGAGAGAAGGCTGCTGCAGGTATTTCAATAACCAGAAACTTGGTTTCGTTTTTGGTTTTCACTAGTGATCGCCAAGAAAGAGTAGAGCATGTATTAGACATTTGCACTGGCACTGACAGCGGAAAATGAAATCTTGGCGAAGTTAAATTCATTTGCTTGTGCATTATTTCTAATTCCATCCCTTTATTTGTAGGCGGAGATGCAAAGATTAAAAGATAAGCTAGCTATATCAGAGAGAACAGCTAATGCAGAAGCACAGCTGAAGGTAATTTTTTTGACATTTCTTCCATTTTGTTAATGTCGTCTTGTATCTTGGTTTATTAACTGAAATGTTTCTGTCACTAAAGGAAAAATTGAAGCTGAGGCTAAAGACATTGGAAGAGGGCTTACAGCATGTACAGAGTTTCTCTGTGAACCCTAATGCATCCTGTGGATCCCCTAAACCAGGAAAAACCAGTAACATATTAGGATTTTTAACAAGCAATGGAGGAATAAGAAAGAGGTCTGCATCACAGCCAAGGGGTTCCACCATCAGTATAAGCTCTCCTTTCCAGCAGCCAAATATTGAAATTGAAAATGCCAACGCTGCTGGAATCCAAAATCGAGCCGATAGCTTCAAGAAGAAGAGTGGTTCTGGAGAAAACCCGTTGAGGAAAGGCATGTGGGTGTCTAGAAGTAAAGTTGTTGATAGCGGAGGAAAGGAAAATGCAGAAGTGAAGACAAACACAGATTCGTATATCGACAAACACAAGAACAATGATACAACAAGTTCAGCAGAAACGAAGAACAAAGTTGTTGGAAATGAAGATTTGCAAAACAAGGGAGGTACCATTTCTTCGAGCGAGGATGTTGTTTCAGGATTCCTATATGATAGACTTCAAAAAGAGGTCATAAATCTAAGAAAATATTGTGAGACTAAAGAAAGTAGTTTGAATGCTAAAGATCAAGAAATTCAGGTGAAGTAATAGCAACTAACTCTCTCTGGCTTAAATCCATAATTCCATATTCTATTAGGTGTTGACTGTATCAGAAAATTATTTTCAGATGCTCATGAAGAAGGTTGATGCCCTAACAAAATCCATTGAAGTAGAGTCCAGGAAAGTGAAGAGAGAAGCGGCTGCTAGAGAAAAAGAAGCTGTATCAGCAAAACCAAATAAACCAAAAAGATTTGGAGTATAAACTTCTCAAAAAGGTTGGTAAAACCTGCCAAAAAACTATGATATATTTTTAGGCTTCCATCTTTTCAATTTCTATCGATCATTTATTACTGCAAGTAACTGTACTTGGAAATAGAGTTTTCGATATTGTGATGATAACCCTTTTAGCTCTTCGGATCACCGCAGGGAAACCGAGCATCTTGAAGACTGCTTGGATTGGATATAGCTGAAGGCTACCTACCTGAAATTCATTTTATTCTTCATCCATGCCTTATGATTCTTCGTTGTAAATACGGACTGTTTTACTGATTCTAGCTAGTTGAAATAAAGTTCTGAGTCAATGGACAGAGGAGTTCTGAAATGTAACATCCTAGGATAGAGCTGAAAGTTGTGTTCATTGTTGCTTGAGATTACCTGAATGCTTTTGGTTTTGTGTATATGGAAAGTTGAAGTGTGCAAAATCAAGGAAATTGGATCCAAATAAAAAGGCAGAGATTGTCTGAAGTACTGCAAAAAATGTATAAATCATCATCTTCCTTTTCCACTCCCCCTTCTTGCACATTCTAAATGTTCATCACAGAAGACCTAGAATTCCAGTCTTGCTGCAGTTTCAAAGCAAGACACTTTTATGCCGTCTTAAGAGACTGGTTGCTTGCATAATCGTGTGTGCCTTCAACAAAATAAATCAATACATGAACAGCATGTTTGACATGTACAGAATTTCTTGGTCTTCACTCTTTTTTCTTTTTGTTTTTTTTTACAATCGAGAGTGCTACGGCTTGAGCTTCGTATCTCTAGCCAAACCTCTGCCTCCTACCACCTGAGCTAACCCCAGATAGAAAGTGCAGGAAGTAATCTTCCTAGTTTGGTTCAAAAAACAGAGGAAGATCTAAGAACTCTATTATTGATTGATTACAACCACAATGTGCATGTAGCACAGACTGCTCTAAAACAATAAAAACAGAGGGTGCAATACATGGAGAAAAAAATCCAAAAACACCTCTCCGGTTTCTTGAGAGCCTACAATGTATCATCTACTATACTTTCATATACTTTCCAGGCTAGTGCAGAGCTATATTCTATATCGCTCTATCTTTTTCTGGAAACTGGATTATAATGCAAGTGAAGAGTTGGAAAACTCCCACCATTTAAAACTTCTGCACCTCTGGAATGGTAACTAAAGATGGCCGCCACTTTCGTTCTCCTTCCCTAAAACTTTCAGAGAATCGAACAGCGATTCCTTTTGACTTGAACTGCTTTGAATTTCTCAGCAGCAACTCCAATTGCTGCCTAGTCACCACAATCTTGACCTTCCTGCTAGCACAAGTTTCTTGTCCGGCCAATTTCGACGAGACCTCAAGTCTACAAGGTTGACCAAGGGAAGGCATAAGGTAATAGACTTCCCCAGGTTCCAGCCTGGTGTCAGGCGGCAATGGTACGTAAGGTAGCGCACTATGCACCAACACATAACCACCGTCGCGGCTTGATGTGATCTTCTTAACCCGCGTTGAGGATTTAAACTCCTTTTCTCCTCCATTATGGATGAGAACTTTGCTCCTCTCTGCAGATGAATATGACAAAACATCAATGCAGTTTCCCATTGTGCAATATACAATGATGTTTTGAACTAGTGCTGTGATGATCCTCAATTTATACTATGATTTTATTTGACTTCATCTTGGAGACAATTTGACGTGCAGACCATCACATCTAAGGAAAGATGTCATTTTGATAATAATATCTTAAAAATGTCAATGGTCTGTGCATCACCTGCATTGTTCATTGCATTGCTGTCTGGGAAAAAAAAATACGCCAAACAAGCAGTGTGTAATCCCTCTATTTTTTTAGGCAAGTCTAAGAAATGCCCCCCCAACTATTAGGCTAGTATCAATTTTGTTCAGGTATAATTTTTTATTTATTATTTTTGTAGGCAAGTCTAAAAAATGCTCCCCCAACTATTAGGCTAGTATCAATTTTGTTAGTATATGATTTTGATTTCTCATTTAGGACTTTTATGTGGAACAATTATCCCAAGATTTGATAGATCAAATTGACAAACAAAAAGTATCCAAGAAAATGCCTAAACGGGCATCCTAACTTAAAACAGTGATAATAGAAAATTAACTGTTAGTTATTGCTTAAATTTTTCTAGAAGGTTTTTGAGGCTGTTTTTTTATTTATTTATTTATTCATGAAAAGCTACTTTATTATTTATCGAACCGTTGGATCTTCTGAAATTATATCTAAAAGTTGTTGTTTTGGCTACTTTAGTTATTTTCCTACATATTTTTAGATTTTAATTATTTGTTTTCTTCTTAGTTTATGTTTCTTATTTAGATTGGTCCTTCGAACTCCTATATAAAGACATGGGGTGTGTCGCGAGGGTCGTGCCGCATCATCATCAACGATGGCAGAGGCTAATGACCATGCCTCCGACATGCAACCTCTATTTTTGTTTCAAATTAGTAAGGGACGGGTCATCGGCCCTTTAAGAATTTTTTATTTTTAAAAAAAAAAACTCAGGAGCTCTGAGCCTTCCTAACCCGAAAAATAAGGATCGTTTTTTTATCCATTATAATTGCATTTGTTTTTATTTTTTTTTAAATTTTATTATTTATATTTAATTGATTATTAATTGAATAACATAATTTATTTCAATTTAATTTATTTTTCCAATCACTTTAATATTTTATTGGTTTTTAATTTATAAATATCTATTTTAAATTAAAAAAAAATTATTGAATGATCTAAGTGATAGATTTACTTCACTAGGAAGGGATATGCTTGATAATTCTTTTTTGTTGCATAAATAATTATCCATTTATTTAATTAAATATATACATAAATTTTTCAAATTCAACTTTAGATTTTTTTATGTACAAAAACATATCATAAAAGTCTGCACATATATATATTTTTTTAAAAAACAATATTTAACATGCGGCAAAAAGCAGTACCAGCTAGTAATAAACTACTTCTAGTAATTATTATTTTTTCATGTGTAATGCCACCTATGTGCTTTCTTCTATAATATTTTTTTTCTTTAATCAGCTGATATCTGACCTTAAGCAACCAACGAAAGAACTATTTACAGAAAAATAAATCGTTGTTTCTCTTTTGACCACGCTCACAGACTATTGAACTATAGGGAACCATAAAAACCAGCCATGCTGGTAAGGAAACTCCTATACACAATGGTGCAAGCTTTTCTGTCATGTACAGTATCAAATCAAAGCTTGTAGCAACAGTTGTCCGGCATTGCATTGCACAAGAAGTGCAGACTATATGCTCGATGTCCAGAATTGATTTAACCTATAGTGAAGCAGAAATTCGCTGCACGAATACCATTTATGCAGTTGTGACTTCAGCAGCAACCATGGCAATTGGTTCATTGTAAGCAAGTGCTCGAGTCTCGTTGATTTGACGAGGCAGTCACTTAGCACTGCCGACACTGCAGACAGCAAACAAGCCATGTTCTGTCAGATCACACATGAATATGGAATGGATTTTGATCCAATCTTAAATAGCTTTAAATTTAAATCCCGAAAATGCAATGTTCTTGCTATTCCCTCACCGAATAATAGCCTCAATTGTGCAGACTATCTAAAGAGATGCTCATGAATCATAGCACAACCAGTCAAAGCAACATGATCTAGATTTTTAGAATCTGATCAGCTATATGACGATTCAATGGCTAAACATAATGCTTTATCTTAACGACACAAAAATTCCATATCAAGAGAGACAATATCAGCAGAAAAGGAAACAATAATGTGGGGGGCACGTGCCACTGATGGACATAAAAAATGGAAAATCTACATGAGCATGGCATCTAAGCAGCTACTGCGTCAGTTGATTTTCTAGATTCCAACCACGACTCAGCTGCAACCTTTGTAGTTAAGAACCAGCCAACCTTATCAGGAGCCTCATGGAATGGAGAATTTAGTTCCTTCAAATATGACTCGAACACATTGGCTAAACCTTTCTCAGAATACTTGTGTTGCCCATGCCCAGTATTGATTCCAAGCAATGGTGGAAGCTGCTCCCCTGCCTCCAGTACCTTGGACAAGTCATTCATCCAAATATGTAATGCTGTCATAGCTGCCCCGGGGGAGAGACTCTTTAGATTTAGGGACCACTGGGTTGAAGTTCTGGACATTATATTGGTGTAAATTTCATGTGTCAATCCAAGGTCAAGCAACTCACAAGCTCTCTCCAACATATTGAGCTTGATACAGAGGTCAATTAAGCAATTGCAGTAAGCCTTCTTTACTTCGGTGCTAATACTATCAAACAGGTCAGTAGCTTCGTTCTTAAAATTCCCCTCACTGTCTTGCTGCTCTACCAAAATCTTAACCACACAACCAAGCTTCGGATTAGCCCTCTCAACACAATTAACAAGCTTGCTGAGCTCTTCATTTGGTGTTTGAGTCATCACATTCAGAAGACAGCCACAGAACCGATCATCTGGAGTTATAAGCAATTCAGAAAGTCTGTTAAATGTCTTCACAACATCATCAATGCGTTGGGCTTTTCCATAGCACTGGATAAGTGATGTCAAGATAAAAATATTAGGCTGAAAGCCTGCTTCGAACATCTCATTCAACGTATTCTCTGCCTCGGAAACTTTCCCACAGCATGAGAAAATGGTAATCATGGATGAGAAAGTCCAACTATCAGGCTTGATTCCAGAACTCTTCATGTCCTCAAAAATCTCAACAGCTTTATCCACGTGGCCGAGATCAGCACACATAGCCAATATGGAATTATAAAGAACTACATTCAATCCCAACCCCTTTTCCTTCATTTCCCTATAAATTTTAAACGCATCATCTCCATAACGAGCTCTACCATACGCATGCAGAAGAGCTGCATATGTCACAAAACTCGGTGACAACCCATTGTCAATTATATCCTGATAGAATTTCTTCACCTGCCAAGGCCTCTTGGCTCTTCCCATGGCATCTAACAAAATGTTGTATATGACCAGATTTGGCTTAACACCTAAAGCCTTCATTTCTTCGTAAACATTCAAACACCCATCAAAATTCCCAGCAACCTTATAAATCCTAATCAATGTAGAGAACGTCGTTGCATCTAGCCGCCACTCCCCCGTTCTAGCACGTTCATATAAGCTCAATGCCTTTTCAACATTACCAGCCCGCCCATACGAATCAATCATAGTCGAAAAGGTAACATCGTCAGGTTCAAGCCCAAAACTCGGCATTTTCTCAAACCACTCAACTGCCTTATCCGCTAAATTACACAACCTAGCACAACTAATTATTGTCGAAAACGTAAAATTATCAGGCTTAACACCTCTCTCAAGCATCTCATCAAACAACTTCTCGGCCTTATCCAAATCTCTTCCTTTCCTAAAAACCTTCAAAGTCACATTGTAAACAACAACCTCTCTATTAAACTTCAACCTCTCTTG